TGTCTTTAGCTGCGGAGTCTTGCCGGAGTCGGGCGGAGTCGGTACACCTGCTGAAACCCTATTTACAATGGGGAAAGGGTTGAAAGAGTTCCAACTTTGTGACTCCAGACGACTCCGCAAGAAACCGCAACATGCGCAAGATGATGTCACTGAACTGTTCGATTTGTTTGATGCCCATTTTTGGGTTGGAAAGGTATATAGAATTTGGACTCCCAAAGGCGGTCCTCCCCAGTTCAGCACGTGGATGTTTGTGTCATCCTTCCTGCCTTCTGTGGTTTCATGTTTTCTGGCGAACTTTTGAAGCAGCTGGGTGCGTTCCGAGCGTCATGTCGCACCCCCAAAAACAGGATTGCCACACGCTCCAACGCGTGGATTTGGCGCGCCCGTTTTTGGTCTCGCCTGCTATTAAAATAGAAATTGAAAACAGCCTCGAAATGGCCCTGTCCAAAGCGAAAAGCGGTAGCGCGTGGCAATCCCATTTTTGGCAGTGTGCAACCTTGCGACCTGCTCGAAACACAACGAAGCTCTTTACATTACGCAAATAAATCAAAGTTGGGTTTTGTTTAAGCAGCAAGCTTTCAACGCAACAGTTCAGCACGTGGATGTTTGTGTCATCCTTCCTGCCTTTTGTGGTTTCATGGTTTCTGGCGAACTTTTGAAGCAGCTGGGTGCGTTCGGAGCGTCATGTCGCAGCCCCAAAAACAGGATTGCCACACGCTCCAACGCGTGGATTTGGCGCGCCCGTTTTTGGTCTCGCCTGCTATTAAAATAGAAATTGAAAACAGCCTCGAAATGGCCCTGTCCAAAGCGAAAAGCGGTAGCGCGTGGCATTCCCATTTTTGGCAGTGTGGAACCTTGCGACCTGCTCGAAACACGAAGCTCTTACATTACGCAAATAAATTAAATAAATGAAAGTTGGGTTTTGTTCAAGCAGCAAGCTTCAACGCAACAGTTCAGCACGTGGATGTTTGTGTCATCCTTCCTGCCTTTTGTGGTTTCATGTTTTCTGGCGAGCTTTTGAAGCAGCTGGGTGCGTTCCGAGCGTCATGTCGCAACCCCAAAAACAGGATTGCCACACGCTCCAACGCGTGGATTTGGCGCGCCCGTTTTTGGTCTCGCCTGCTATTTTCTTTACTTGGGAAACAAAAAGTAGAAATTTGAAAAAAAAAAAAAAAAAAAAAAAAAAAACCACACCACCCCAAAAAAAAAAAAAAAAAACGGGGGGGGGGGGGGGGAGGGGGGGGGGGGGGGGGGGGGGGGGGGCACTCGAGTGGCCCATGTCCAAAGCGAAAAGCGGGATCTGAGGGTTAGCGCGTGGGCAATCCCGTTTTTGGCAGTGTGGAACCTTGCGACAGGCGAACACGAAGCTCTTTACATACATACGCAAGTTTACAGTAAAGCAAAGTTGGGTTTTGTTCAAGCAGCAAGCTTTCAACGCAAACAGTTCACCACGTGGATGTTTGTGTCATCCTTCGTGCCTTTTGTGGTTTCATGGTTTCTGGCGAACTTTTGAAGCAGCTGGGTGCGTTCCGAGCGTCATGTCGCAACCCCAAAAACAGGATTGCCACACGCTCCAACGCGTGGATTTGGCGCGCCCGTTTTTGGTCTCGCCTGCTATTAAAATAGAAATTGAAAACAGCCTCGAAATGGCCCTGTCCAAAGCGAAAAGCGGTAGCGCGTGGCAATCCCATTTTTGGCAGTGTGGAACCTTGCGACCTGCTCGAAACACGAAGCTCTTACATTACGCAAGTAAATCAAAGTTGGGTTCTGTTCAAGCAGCAAGCTTCAACGCAACTGGGGAGGACCACTTTTTGGAGTCCAAAAAGCCAATGTGTTTACGGCCCCGAAAATGAGATTGCTGCAGTGACCTTTTTGCGAAAAATGGCGCAGCTTTAAATACTTTTGCAAGTGTAACGGAATGGCAGGATTCCGGGGGACACGGTTGCTGATTGAAGGTCTCTAGCCCCGCCTGCATGTCGCCAGTCTTTGCCAAAGCACCATGTTGTTTGGAATTGTTTGGGTGTTGTTGTCGCAGGCTTTCGCAACATGGCGTGGGTGAGGTGCTGATTCCGCTGCGTTGGCGGGATGCTTTTTCTGTGTTTGCGTTGGCAGTGGATCGTTTTGTCACGATTGGGCGTCGCACTGCTCAGTTTTGTTTTGGTCCCTTGATGCGTTGTTTGTTTTTGGGCTCCCCCCCTTCGCCTCCCTAGACTCCTAACACGGCAACTTTGCGGGTCGGGTTGTGTATGTCGCCCGGAGTTCAGTATCATCCGGTTAAAGAATAATAGTATATATTTTAAACCGGATGAAACCCTATTTACAATGGGGAAAGGGTTGAAAGAGTTCCAACTTTGTGACTCCAGACGACTCCGCAAGAAACCGCAAGATGCGCAAGATGATGTCACACTGAACTCTTGGATTTGTTTGATGCCCATTTTTGGGGTTGGAAAGGTATACAGAATTTGGACTCCCAAAGGCGGTCCTCCCCAGTTCAGCACGTGGATGTTTGTGTCATCCTTCCTGCCTTTTGTGGTTTCATGGTTTCTGGCAAACTTTTGAAGCAGCTGGGTGCGTTCAGAGCGTCATGTCGCAACCCCAAAAACAGGATTGCCACACGCTCCAACGCGTGGATTTGGCGCGCCCGTTTTTGGTCTCGCCTGCTATTGAAATAGAAATCGAAAACAGCCTCGAAATGGCCCTGTCCAAAGCGAAAAGCGGTAGCGCGTGGCAATCCCGTTTTTGGCAGTGTGGAACCTTGCGACCTGCTCGAAACACGAAGCTCTTTACATACATTACGCAAGTAAAGCAAAGTTGGGTTTTGTTCAAGCAGCAAGCTTTCAACGCAACAGTTCAGCACGTGGATGTTTGTGTCATCCTTCCTGCCTTTTGTGGTTTCATGGTTTCTGGCAAACTTTTGAAGCAGCTGGGTGCGTTCAGAGCGTCATGTCGCAACCCCAAAAACAGGATTGCCACACGCTCCAACGCGTGGATTTGGCGCGCCCGTTTTTGGTCTCGCCTGCTATTAAAATAGAAATTGAAAACAGCCTCGAAATGGCCCTGTCCAAAGCGAAAAGCGGAAGCGCGTGGCAATCCCGTTTTTGGCAGTGTGGAACCTTGCGACCTGCTCGAAACACGAAGCTCTTTACATACATTACGCAAGTAAAGCAAAGTTGGGTTTTGTTCAAGCAGCAAGCTTTCAACGCAACTGGGGAGGGCCACTTCTTGGAGTCCAAAAAGCCAATGTGTTTACGGCCCCGAAAATGAGGTTGCTGCAATGACCTTTTTTTGCGAAAAATGGCGCAGCTTTACCAAAAAGCAATACTTTTGCAAGTATAACGGAATGGCAGGATTCCGGGGAACACGGTTGCTGATTGAAGGTCTCTAGCCCCGCCTGCATGTCGCCAGTCTTTGCCAAAGCACCATGTTGTTTGGAATTGGTTGGGTGTTGTTGTCGCAGGCTTTCGCAACATGGCGTGGGTGAGGTGCTGATTCCGCTGCGACATTGTTGGCGGGATGCTTTTTCTGTGTTTGCGTTGGCAGTGGATCGTTTTGTCACGATTGAGCGTCGCACTGCTCAGTTTTGTTTTGGTCCCTTGATGCGTTGTTTGTTTTTGGGCTCCCTCCTTTCGCCTCCCTGGACTCCAAACACGGCAACTTTGCGGGTCGGGTTGTGTATGTCGCCGGAGTTCAGCATCATCCGGTAAAGAATAATTGTATATATTTAAACCGGATGAATTCTTTGTTTACATTGGGAAGAGTTTCGATTTCATGACTCTGGCAAATTCCGTAAGAAGGCTGGAGATGCAAAATTTCGGTTTTACCACAGTTTTGTCCCAGTTTTGATGTCTTTAGCTGCGGAGTCTTGCCGGAGTCGGGCGGAGTCGGTACACCTGCTGAAACCTATTTATAATGGGAAAGGTCGAAAGAGTTCCAACTTTGTGACTCCAGACGACTCCGCAAGAAACCGCAAGATGCGCAAGATGATGTCACACTGAACTCTTCGATTTGTTTGATGCCCATTTTTGGGGTTGGAAAGGTATACAGAATTTGGACTCCCAAAGGCGGTCCTCCCCAGTTCAGCACGTGGATGTTTGTGTCATCCTTCCTGCCTTTTGTGGTTTCATGGTTTCTGGCAAACTTTTGAAGCAGCTGGGTGCGTTCAGAGCGTCATGTCGCAACCCCAAAAACAGGATTGCCACACGCTCCAACGCGTGGATTTGGCGCGCCCGTTTTTGGTCTCGCCTGCTATTAAAATAGAAATTGAAAACAGCCTCGAAATGGCCCTGTCCAAAGCGAAAAGCGGTAGCGCGTGGCAATCCCGTTTTTGGCAGTGTGGAACCTTGCGACCTGCTCGAAACACGAAGCTCTTTACATACATTACGCAACCCAGAACTTCCATTCCTCCTTATTTAGTGTAATGTCACCGTAGGTGATGTTACTTTATCGTAAAAGAAGCGTTCCTCTGTTTTGTGAGAATGCTCACAAAATCTGCGCCTTCTCCATTCTTCACTTGCACTCGTAAGCGTGTGCTCCTGAAGTTTCGACTCCGTTTCTCCAAGACTTCTAAACTCCAGCGTTGCACGTAGCGGTTGGCGCGTCTGCCCTCTCTGTGCTGCGCTTTCCTGTGCCTGTCTTGACCTCTAAACTTCAAGCTGTAGTTGCTTGGTTTGAGTCAAGCTCGCTGGAGTTTATTTGACTTGTTTTTCTTCCTAGGAGATGCTCCTTGGTCTCAACTCAGTTTTACTGTTGTTTGAACAGTTTCAACGGGTACTGTCTCAAACCTTTAAAAAAATTTTCTGAAGTGCTGAAAACCTTGTGTGTTGTTTTCAGGTGACTTGCGTTTTCTGTCATGTTCACTTCATTTAATTTTTTGTCACCGCGCCCGCCTCAAAGAAGTAAGTGGTGGGTGGGTGGGTGCAGTCTTAATTTGATAGTACTCGCGAAAGTGGGGATCGATGCCATGGATGTTTAGCTGGTGTGCTACAATTTGCTTCAGTGCTATGAATGGCCTTTCCACTGAGTATATCAATTCTTGTGCCCGGCAGTTAGGGGCCAAGAGACTGCGTTTCGAACTGCCTTGGGAACAGAGCCCTTTGGATGACATTTTGTCTTCAGGCAAGAAATCTACAATTCAGAAGCCAGATTGGGTTGAATTTCCAGTTCAATTATGGGGCCCTGTCTCTACGGCGAACAAGCCGACCAGGTTGGACAGGTACAATGCTCGCACCCATTTGTCAGACATATCATGGGTGGCCGTTGAGAACAAGAAGCACAACTTGGCCTTGCAGTGCTGGAAGGTGATCGTGTTGGACAGCACCAGCCACACAGCTCTTGGCCAGTTGCTGATGCGTTGCATTGAACTGGGAAAGTCAGAAGACTACATCTGGCAGGTGGTGGCTGACGCATTCAGTCAAAAGGCAACCTCAACCTTGAAATCAAGAGCGGCGTCACTCCTGGCGTTTGGACGTTGGAAGAGAGCTACTGCTGCGGGACAGCCCCAGGGTATCTTCCCGTTGACAGAAGAGCAAGCCTATGACTATTTGTGCGAGCTGAGACGCTTGCATGCTGCTCCAACCAAGGGCCGCAGGTTTTTGGAATCAGTTGGATTTGCAAAAGGGCTATTGGGAGCAGAAGTTGATTGCGTCCTGAAGTCCTCTCGAGTCAAGGGAGTGGCGTGGGGCTCAGACCTGGTGCCAGTGAAAAAGAAGGCTCCTTTCACTTGTCAGCAGTTGATTGCATTAGAACGCCTTGCATTTTTTGGAGAGGGACCTCAATCCATTTTTGCTGGTTACATTTGTTTCTTGGTGCATTGCCGCTTGAGATGGTCAGATGGACAGCACTGCATTCGTGAGCCAATGTTGGACGTTTCAGATGGCAGGGGGTTCCTGGAGGCCGCTTTGTATCACCACAAGACTGCCAAGAAACGTAGGACCCATGTGGTCAGGTTGTTGCCTGTGGCAGGTGTCATTCCAGGTTTGTCTGGTTTGAACTGGGCTTCAGAGTGGCTGGACAAAAGGTTGAAAGCAGGTCTCCAGGCCTCAATGGTGAGACCAACCATGCCGGCTCCAACAGCTGGAGGGGAGTGGACGAGACTGCCTTTGACCGCATCGGAGGGAAGTGTCTGGCTCAGAGAAATTCTTTCTTCTTGTTCACCTGTGACCTTGTGCGACATTGCAACACACTCTGCAAAAGCCACAATTTTGTCATGGATGTCAAAGGCAAATGTCGAGATTTCTGTCAGACGTTTGGCAGGGTATCATACTGCTCCTGGTGACAAGAGCGCATTGGAGTATTCCAGAGACGCTGCATCTCCAATTCTTAGAGAAATAGAGGCCATTTTGATTTCGATCAGGGCTGAAATTTTCTTTCCAGATGCGCCTCGTTCACGTCGTTGGAAGGGAGCTCAGACCTTAGTGGATGCTGTCAAACTTGCTTCAGCCGCATTTGCACCAGACTTGCATCAACCTGTTGTCAGTCATAGTGAGCCTGTTTGTGATGAATTTGGGACTGGACTTGGAGACCAGAACAGTGACAGCGTGACTGGTTTTGAAGTGGCCGGTGAACCACACGTTTTGCCTGGGCCCTACTCGGAACAGAATCTGGGTTTTGGTTTTGGAGATGGTTTCAATGATGACATGACTCTTGAAGAACTCAAGTTTTACAGAACAGAAGATCTTTCAAACGGAGGTGAAGCCCCCATTGCTAACCAGGACAGTGACATCAGTGACATCTCGAGTGATGACAGTTCTTCAGTTGATGACGATTGCGATTCAGTTGATCTTGAGAGACAAGCAGAACTGGATGGAGAGAGCAATGCTCGAGACCTGGTGGCGCCCTCAGATCTGGCTGGCAAGAAATGTGTTCGACATGTGAAGTCCAAGAAGCTGCACTTCATTGAAAGAGTTTGTGAAGGCCAACAGTTTTTTCGTTGCGGTAGGAAATGCAATGCCAATTATGAACATGTAGAGACTGTACCTGCCTTTGCTGCACATGGTTATATGATGTGTTTTGGATGGAGCGCATCGAAAGACAGCTCCGACTCGGGCGACTGAAGTCTGCAACTCTGGAGTAGAGAACTCAGCAGAGTCGGTGCCAAAAGGTGTCAGCCTGAAGCGTCTTTGCATGTTCAGTGGTTTGTTTTTGTTTGGCATTTCATTTTTGCATTTCCTGTCACAGCTTTCATGTCACACAAACGCATGTCAGTGATTGCAGTTGCTTTCAAACTTGACAAGGGTCATCAATGCAGTTGTTTTCAAACTTGACAAAGGTCATCAATAGGTCAAACAGGCCAAAGGGTAGTTTGTATCTCGCATGATTGCATAAATTTTAATTTCCGGAAAGCCGGCCAGTTGTCAAGGGACGACTCTCAATTTTCTTCCCGGGCAGATGTGTCCACTCAAGGCGAAAGCGAGTCAACACTGCAATCATGCTGATCATTTTTGTTTGATTTGTGCTGCAGTCCACATTTTTTTTGAAAAACGATGTCTGTGCATTTCTGCCAATTTCAAACCTCACTTCAGTTTGCAAAATCCAGATACCCGTGCGATGTCTTATGTCGACAGTGAAGTTGTCTTCAAAGCCAGATGCGATGAAATCAGATTGTCAAGCGACACCTTCGACAGTTTGAAAGCCAAAGGGTGGGCAACGTTTGGAAGCTATGCCTTCGCCATCTCAACCAATCCTGGTCAGATCTCGGATGACGATTTCGACGCAAAGGTGGCCATACCAGTGCTTGGTGCGGCAGGGTATCAAGAAGCTGCTCTGCTTCGCCGTTTGCTTTTTGAGAGTTACACCTTGACTGCAACAGAGCTGAGATGCAAAACCGATTCAAACGAATCAGATGGACCCAAAAAGCTTCCGGTCCAGGAGATAGCCTCTCGCTTCGAGGCACTTGAGAGGAAGCTGGCTCCTCTCAAAGTAGAGAGTGTTCTCGAGCCCAGCCACTCTTTGGTAAATTGCCTTGCACAATGCGCCGAAGACGGCCGACTCAGATATGTGGAATGGGCCAAGTGCACCACCAGGTCATTGGAGCTGAACAACGTGAAAGAGCAAACAGCCCTCAAGGTTTGGAAAGCTGACGCATCAGGAACCATCAAGCAGACCGAGGCCGAAGCGTCCCTGAAATGCGACATCAGCACGGATCTTGAAGTGTTGAACGCCTGAAAAGGCGCGGGATGGCCTACGAGCTGGCCAAGTTGATGAGCTACGAGGTGCATGATCGCATCATCAATTTGCTGTTCAACGAGCTGCAACGGGATCCTATAGAAGGATTTGGCCGCCCCACTATGGGGCAGTTAGCAGCCGCAGACCGTGAGGTGCACCTCAAGTTGGCGGAGTTGACAAGGGCAGGCCTGCCCCTTGGGCCCAATGGGGAGTTACCCCTGGACAAGCATGTTGATGACGTTTTGAGGCTGCCATCAGTGATGTGGTTACTCATGCCTAGGCCCAAAGGGAATCCTGACAGAACGCCCTCGAAAGCAGCACCCGCGGCGCCAGCACCGAAGCATCAACCTGACAAGAGGCCAACCAAGAACCACAAGTTCGACAAGACCAAAGGCAAGAGAGTGAAGACTCCCATGCCCTTGCAACTACGTGGAGGCACACCCAACGACGCAGATGGGAAATCCATCTGCTTTGGCTACAACCTTGGCACGTGCCGTGAGAAGAACTGCAAGAAGGGAAGACACATTTGTTGCAAGCCTGGCTGCTTTTCAGGAGCCCATACGTTCCTGAGCCATGGGGATTCAGCTTGACTCCCGACTCGCAAGCGGTTGAGATCGGAGCTGCCACAGCAGCGGCCTCATGGTGTGAGTGACAGTCCACACCGATAAGAGCAGCCAAAAGTGGATGCTAGAAATTTTCCTCAAGAGGAGTTCATACAGGGCAAGCCTGTTTCCTTTAGTCCCCAAGTCGAAGGACCTGGGGTTGCTAGCGACTCAGTGTCGCACGGTGTTGAAGGCCCTCGGGAAAGACCCGATGCTGCCACTCCAAGCGAAGGCTTGGGCAATTCAGATCAGAAGTGCAAACGTGCACCATTTCTTATTGAATTATTTTGCGGAACTGCAGGAGTCTGTGCACAATTCAGAACTTTGGGTGGCCGCGCTCTGGGCATAGACCACCATCTCAAGAGGACGAAATTGAAGTCTGCGGCAGTGAGGCTTGACCTCAATCAACAATGGGTGCAAGATTTGATAATGCGTGAAATTTCTTCAGGCCGGGTTGACGCAGTCCACATGGGGCCTCCTTGCGGAACATCGTCCAGAGCCAGGAATATACCCATAAAGAAGAAGCTGAGAAAAGCAGGGGCTCCAAACCCTGCCCCTCTGAGGAGCTCAAAGTTTCCAGAAGGCTTTCCCTGGCTCAAAGGTATCAACCTCATCAAAGTTGAGGCTGCGAACTCCCTCTATGACTTTGCGGCAAAAGTCGCATGGCTTTGCGATGAGCATGGGGTTTTGTTCACAGTGGAGAACCCGGCAAATTCTTACATGTGGGAAACAAAATTTTTCAAGCACTTGGTGGATCGATTTTTCTTTCACATAATTGATGCATGTGAGTATGGCTCAGAGCACAAGAAGGCAACTGCATTTTTAGCAAATTTTTCGGCAGACAGGCTCAGGCAACGTTGCACAGGCAACCATACTCACAAATCTTGGAATGTTGAGAAAGCGGAGGACGGCAGCTGGCGTTTTGATACAGCCAAAGAGGCCGAATATCCCACGAAACTGGCAAAACAACTTGCGCTGGCCTTGTTTGACAAGCTGCTCGAATCGCAACAGTTTAAACTTCAGGACAATTTGGAAGACCATGCGCCCAAAGTGTCTTCAGAAGCTCAGCCACGCCGTCCCAAAGGGCCTTTGCTGCTTACAGAGTTCAAGACCAAAGTGGTTGTTTCATGTGACCCTGCACAGGTGCCGCCTGAAACCATCCCAGAAGCAGCTTCTCCGCCGTTGCAAGGGATCCCAGTTGGAGCTAAGCGGCTTGACGTTCAGCCGGTGTTCAATGAGAAGGGGGAGAAGGTCCGTCTGAGTGCAACATATGGAATTTTTCACACTCCCGAGGAGTTTATTCAAAGAGCTTTGCAATTGGAACATCCGTTTGACACCTTTTTACCCATTGACGATGCGAACATGGAGGCCATCAGTTTCATTCTTCGTGAAGGTCCTGTAAAGACTGCACAACACAGGACCAGGATGTTGAACCACTTCCTTGAGAGAGCGAAGTGCCTCCAGACTGAAGAGGCGAGACTCCATGAGAGTCTGGATCAATCAATCAGACCGGTGTTGGCAACCAAGCGCTTGCTGCTTTTCAGAGAAACGTTGGTTGAGGCTGGAGTTGATGATCCACAGTTGTTCGATGATTTACGTTTTGGCTTCAGGCTAGTGGGAGACCTCCAACCCTCCGGACAATTTCAACCGCAGTGGAAGCCTGCTTCTTTAGACGTTGAGCAGCTCAAGCAGACGGCAGTGTGGGCTCAACGTGCAGTGATTGCATCCTGTCGGAAGGGTCTGGATGATTTGGAAGTGGCTCAGGCAGTATGGGATGAAACAATGGAGCAGACGATGCCAGACAAACAATGGGTCAAAGGACCATTTACTGCTGAACAGATCACCCAGCGTTTGGGTCCTTCCTGGGTGCCGTCGAGGAGGTTCGGAGTCCGGCAAAATGGAAAGATCAGACCAGTGGATGACTTTTCTCAATTTTTGATCAATGCAACTGTGTCATGTCATGAGAAGATTGACTTGGAGGGCCTGGACCACATCTGCTCCACAGCACGCTTCTTCATGGGAGCATCCACTGAAGACGGTGACATGCGCACCGCTGGGGACAAAGGATCAGCCCCTTGCAAGAGGGCTCCAGAGTGGTCGGCCTCTGACGCCAAGGACATTTTTGGGAGATGCCTGGATTTGAGACAGGCGTACAAACAACTCGTCAGACACCCATGCGATGCCTGGGCAGCAGTTTTAGCTGTCCCTTGCCCTGCTGATGGAACAGTTTACTTCTTCGAGGCCATTGCATTGCCCTTCGGGGCTGTCAGTTCGGTGTTGGCGTTTAACCGGGCGGCGAGAGCTCTAAGGACAATTCTGTCACGAGTCTTCAAGCTGGCCACAACGAATTTCTTTGACGATTTCTGCCAGTTGGAACTAGGCCTCCTCAAGGAATCAGCGTGGAAGACTGCGGAGACGGTCATGCAGCTGCTTGGCTGGAAGATATCCTCAGGAGAGGACAAACGGAAACCCTTTTCCAAAAGTTTTGAGATCTTGGGCGCAGTGGTTAGCTTCAAATCGTCTCCCATTGATGTGATCGAGGTTTGCAACAAAGAATCAAGGTTGGCACAGCTGGAAGAACATGTTGCAGAACTAAGAAAATCTCTGCATACCTCAATATCGAGGACGCAGTTGGAGTCCATCAAAGGGCGTCTATTATACGCCGCCGGCCACACATTCGGCCGCTGCACACAACTGGCGTGCCAGCTTCTGCATCGACTAGGAGGAGCTGGCCCTTCCATAAAGGTAACACCTGAGCTTGTGTATGCGGTGTCAGAAGCATTGGAGGCCCTCAACTCTGCAGGACCGAGGACTATCAAACCCTGGGAGGGAATGCCGCCGGTGCTAATCTTTTCTGATGGAGCAGTTGAGAACGAAGGAGCAACAGTCACGCATGGTGCTTTGCTTGTGGATCCCGCCCTCAACCTGAGGTGCGTATTTGGAGATCATGTCCCACAGCCCTTCGTCACAGCCTGGGCGCGTGCTGGCAAGAGACAAGTCATAGCCCAAGCTGAGATGTTTCCAGTTCTCGCAGCTAAGTGCACATGGAGAAAGCAGCTGAGCGGGAGGAGCATCATCTGGTTCCTCGACAACGAATCAGCGAGGATGGCTTTTGTAAGATGTTTTTCACCAGTGATTGACAATTACTTCATGTTGCAGTTGAACTCCAAATTTGACTTGGAACTTCAGACAAGAAACTGGTACAGCCGTGTGCCCTCAAAATCGAATCCATCAGACAGCGCGTCAAGACTCTCCTTCACAGAGTATCAGAACTGCCACATCCAAGACCCTTGCTACGAACGTTTGTTGAAGTCTCTGAGTGACTTTGAGTCGCTTATGCAGTTGTTGGAAAGGGGTGGTGGGTAAGCCCTCAAAGACACAATGACCATGTTTTGAAATCAAAGGATCTCACACTCTCTGTCAAAGGACAACAGATTTTTTTTTGGAATGATGAATTTGACGATACAGTTCGTCAACCAATACATGGACTTTCAGTGCAATTTCTACATGTGAATGCCAGTGGAAATGCGAGCGTGGAACGCTCCTGTGGAACCGCCCCTTTTTACCGACAACTAATCAAAGAAAAAAATGGTTATTTAAAGCTGTCGTGTCGAGTTTTTTTAATAGAGAAGGCGCATTGAACGCGTAGTGCGATAAGTGTAATTTCACCGTAGGTGATGTTACTTTATCGTAAAAGAAGCGTTCCTCTGTTTTGTGAGAATGCTCACAAAATCTGCGCCTTCTCCATTCTTCACTTGCACTCGTAAGCGTGTGCTCCTGAAGTTTCAACTCCGTTTCTCCAAGACTTCTAAACTCCAGCGTTGCGCGTAGCGGTTGGCGCGTCTGCCCTCTCTGTGCTGCGCTTTCCTGTGCCTGTCTTGACCTCTAAACTTCAAGCTGTAGTTGCTTGGTTTGAGTCAAGCTCGCTGGAGTTTATTTGACTTGTTTTTCTTCCTAGGAGATGCTCCTTGGTCTCAACTCAGTTTTACTGTTGTTTGAACAGTTTCAACGGGTACTGTCTCAAACCTTTTAAAAAATTTTCTGAAGTGCTGAAAACCTTGTGTGTTGTTTTCAGGTGACTTGCGTTTTCTGTCATGTTCACTTCATTTAATTTTTTGTCACCGCGCCCGCCTCAAAGAAGTAAGTGGTGGGTGGGTGGGTGCAGTCTTAATTTGATAGTACTCGCGACCCGCCCTATTCCCACCCGCTAGCACTATCAAAGTGTTGGGGGTGGTGGGTAAGCCCTCAAAGACACAATGACCATGTTTTGAGATCAAAGGATCTCACACTCTCTGTCAAAGGACAACAGATTTTTTTTTGGAATGATGAATTTGACGATACAGTTCGTCAACCAATACATGGACTTTCAGTGCAATTTCTACATGTGAATGCCAGTGGAAATGCGAGCGTGGAACGCTCCTGTGGAACTGCCCCTTTTTACCGACAACTAATCAAAGAAAAAAAAATGGTTATTTAAAGCTGTCGTGTCGAGTTTTTTTTAAATAGAGAAGGCGCATTGAACGCGTAGTGCGATAAATTTAAGGAGTTTTTTTTTAAGGAATTCCACCTTAATTAAGGAGGAATTCCCTTAATTAAGGAGGAATTTTTCCTTAATTAAGGAATTCCACCTTAATTAAGGAGGAATTCTCCTTAATTAAGGTGTTTTTTTTGGGAAAATTCCTCCTTATTTTTTTTAAGGAGGATTTTTTCACTGTTTTTAGATACATCTTTGACATCATCATTGCATCAAGACCAACCTTTGGAGGTTGCTTCAAGGAGATGCAAGATCTCCTTTTGGTGTTTTGATTTCCTGCATGTAATGTTTGTGCATCGCATCTGCAGTTGATTTCTCAAGATGAGTAGAGCTAAGAACACTGCAAGACCGTTGCAAATGTTTGAAAGCAGAGGTGGCTTGTTTGGATCCCAAGGATTACTTGGATGTTGAAATTGATCAAGTATGCAAGCATTATCGAAAATGTCTGGGCTTGATGTTCCAGAAAACAATTCGACCATCCAAAGACTGCTTGAAGGAAGCTGCCTTGAAAGTCAACCCTCGCACTTTGAGTGACGAAGCGAAGAAGTGGTCTTCTGCAATTGTCGAATGTGTGCAACACATCAGAACAAAAGCAAAATGGTCAATTTCAAGTAAGAAATATGAGCCTTGGATGGGTGAGCTTGTGAAGATCTATCTGGAGTGCTCAGAATTCCATGGGAACCGGCAGAAAGGCAAGTTTGTTCAGAAAGCCATTGCCAAGCGAAGGCTCATGAGACAAAGTTCCAATGCGAGCTCCATCCCACAGTTGCCTGTGAATGAACCACTTTTGCAAAAATTTCCTCCAGGCCACAGCTCAGAAACATTGGATAGCCAAGAGCATCAATTGATAGAAGTGTCGAGTGAAGAGAGCCAAGCGAGTCCTAAGAAGCCTGTGAGTGCTGGAACCTGGATCGATTCTACTGCCATGGTGGTATGTCGCTTTGTGGATAGCAAGGTGGAGAAAGCTACTATGAGTGAAGGACCAAATGGCTTTGCCATTGCTGCTTTTGGTGAAAACAAATTTGAATCTGAAATTCCCAATGAATCTTTGAAGATCTATAGGCAATCTGCAGGTGGGAAAAAGCCTGCTGCAGTCTTGAAAAGGCCTGCTGCAGTCTTGAAAAGGCCTGCTGCAGTCTTGAAAAGGCCTGCTGCAGTCTTGAAAAGGCCTGCTGCAATGAAAAAGCGTGCTGCATGTGAAGCAGTACTTGGCACTTCTGAAGAAGAGGATGTTGAAGCTCGGCCGGCTGTTGCAGTTGCTGATCCTGAACCTGCTGCTGTTGACTTGGCATCTCCTGAATATCGCTTGGAAGATTATCCTGCTAAAGGCAGTCGAAAGTATGGTGCTTTAGGTGTCAGACGAAATTTTGGAGACAAGAAACAAATCAAATCTTTCACTTTGAACAAAATTTCAAGAGAAGTTGGCTGGGATTTGGCCCGGAAATGCACTGCTGATTTGCACGATGGTGCTACTGAACAATCTGTGATTGAATTTTTGAATGAGGAAATTCGAAAGTGGAAGGTTGGACAGGATGTGGGTTAGATTGGATGAAATTGCAAAAAAATGGCTGCTGATTTCTGTTGCATGTTTCAAGGAGGTGTAAAACCTCCTGAGAGTTCTCTATAGGAAAATAGGAAATAGTCTTTCCACTTTTCTGTCTTAAGGAGGTGCAAGATCTCCTGACATTTGGAACTTGAGCGTTTAGTGCCTGGGTGGATTTCAAAAATGGCTTGTAGACTTTCATAGGATGTGGCTTTAATGTTTAATGTTGGATTGGAATTCTGGATTTGAGAAGTTTTGTCTGGAATTTGGAATGTTGAAATTTGGAATTTGAATATTTATATATTTTTCCAACACTGGATGCAGGTCTACCACTGGGGGAGGGAGTGAGAGGTGCAGCAGCCCAACTCACTTACATGGCTGACATGCGGGTCATCTCAATTGAAGAAGCAAGAAGACGAATGAGAGTCCTCTATGCTGTGAGAGCTTCTCGAATCTATGGAAACTTGAATTATTTAGATAATGATTTTGTTTCATATATGGTTTGATATATCATGTTATGAAGGAGATGCAAGACCTCCTCAGATGATTTTTTGTTTTGGGCATACGGAGATTTTGCACCTCCTTTGTTTCAGTTTCAATGCATCATGAGGACCACGTACTGCACCTACTGCGCATGCTACTCCATTGGTGCTCCTGGATGAAGGAATGATCTACACAGGCTGAAGTTTTCTGTGGCTGTGGATTTGAAAGTATCTCATGTCAACCATGCACTGTGCAATTTGATGCAATTTGTTCATCATCATGCCTCCTGATCAGGTCCTGCTGTAACCCCATATTCTCCTACATCACCTATTGATGCTGGAGAGCAAGCCGAAAAAACCAAAGAGGATGAGGATTCAAATGTAGATTGAGTCAATTGAGCTTCCCTGGAAAAATGATTGGAGATTATGGGCGCAAGCGACTCTTTAAGGAGGTGCAAGATCTCCTTGATAAACTACATTCAAATTTAAGTAAACCATGATATCTGTGATATGAACATTTCTGCATGGGTGAAGCTGTCAAGTCATATTGATCAATGTAGTGGTGATGGACCTGTAGAATCATTTTTGAAGCCTTGATGGATGCACATGGTCAGCTTTGGAATGATGATGAGAGCTGATGATCTGAACCTGAGGTATCACAATCATTGCACTAGTGTCCAATACTGGAATCAAAAAGGAGGTGCAAGATCTCCTTGGCCGAAGCTGATGCCCATCCATTTCCTTTGTTTGAGAGGCTCTTCTCTGGATACAATTCATTCAGGTCATGCATGATGACTGTAAAAGTTTCAAATTGGAAAAATAAGGAGGTTAAAATTGGTTAAAATTAAAATTGCCAATTTTAATTTTAACCAGTTTATATATTACTTTTAAAGGCAGGATAGGTTAAAATTAAAATTGGCAATTTTAATTTTAACCAATTTTAACCTCCAATAAAAATCACCTCGGATCCAAAATAGAAACCTTTGGATTTGGAACTGGAGATTCATAGACATCCCAACTTACTTCATCATTACACTTTTCAATTTTCAATGAAAGGTTCAATGGAACCACCAAAGGAACTGCCTCCATGGAGGAAGCAGCCACTGGCCACCATTGAGAAGAACCCTGTGGACCCAATGGACAAGCAGATCGCAATGATCAAATGTATGCCAACAAAGAAGCTTTTGAAGCACTATGAGTACCTGAGAACATGTGAGACTAGTAAGCACATTATTCATGGATGAAATTCATAGTTTCTGTTGATAGAGCTGGCTTGATGAGAAAAGAATTACATAGATCAGATCCCTGAACCTGTGGCCCAACCCAGGAATGCGTGTCAAGAGCAGTTGAAAGCCATTGCCAACCTTCGATCCTATGTTGCAGCCAGTGAAGATCTTGCTCCTGAGGGCACTTCTCCTGAAAGCCTTTCGAAACCATTGCCTGCTGCCAAAGCATGGCTTGCTTCCAGCCAAGAGAAGCTGCAAGAAGCAAAAGCCAAGGTGAAAACTCACCAGGCATTGCTGTAGGAGCTGTTTGGCCCTTAGATTTTGGAAAGCGCATTTGGTGCAGTTGTCAGCTTTGGAATGTGGAAATGCAGATTAAAATATCGCAGGGATCTGCTTGGAAGATGCGCAGCTGGTAACTGTCGCTGGAAAAAGAGCCTGCTTCCTTGTAAGATCTCCTTTACTGCTTCCCTGTTTCAAAGCATTGGCCAAATTTAGCATTAACTTAACCAAATACAATGTGCAACTTCTTGTCTTCTGAGATCTTATGAACTTTTATGTCGACATGTTTTTCCAGCTCAAGC